GCCGGGCCGGCTGCGCGGGCCCGCGGCCGGAGCGGTGGAGCTGCCAGGCGAGCCGGACAAGTTCGGGGGCGTCTCGGTGCATCTGGCGCGGCTTGGAGCGCTGGACCGCCTCGACCTCGCCGCCTTCCAGAGAGGCCTGCAGGGCAAGTGGCTCCCCGGGACCCTTGCAAAGGACGACGGACCCCGCCGGGAGTCGCTCTCGGCCCCGTCACGTGCGGAGCCCTGGGGGACCCGGAGAGGTCGAGGTGACGCGGTGGCCTCCTTTGGCCAAAGCCTTTCTGAGAGGCCTTTGGGCCACTCTAGTGTGAGAGGCTTGGCACATGCTGTAAACCACAATTTCCTCCTCCTTAAAAGCAAGTAGTAGGACGTCACGGGTTCCTGGTAGTTACGTTGGATACAGAATCTGAAGTGCTTAAAACAGTGTTAACACTCAGTATTTGTTAATTATGTTATTACTATGTACTGAGCCTTGGTACTGCCTCACACTTTCTCCCTACGAGAGAATTACCTCACATTCAAATACAAGCAGTGGACATGAGAAGTTCTGACTGATCCTTTGGTCTATCAGGGGTCCTCAAACTGCGGCCCGCCGCATTTATCTGGCCCGCCGTGTGTTTTTGCCCCGTGTATTTACTTCAAAATAAGATATGTGCAGTGTGCATAGGAATTTGTTCATAGTTTTTTTTAAAAAACTGTAGTCCAGCCCTCCAACGGGTCTGAGGGACAGTGAACTGGCCCCCTGTTTAAAAAGTTTGAGGACCCCCCAAAGTCTTTTGTAAGGTCCAGACCTGGAGTTGGGTTCTATTTACAAAACAGCCTATGTTTTCCAACTAACCATGAACGTTGAGTGGATTCTATCTTTAATAGGACAATTCTCCACTTTTTTTGAAACTTGAGGTCAGTGATATGAAAGAAAACTTGGATACAGGATTCGTCACTTTGGGAGAAGCCATTGCTTTGATGGGGCAGACTGTTTCCATGCCTGAATCTCTATGTTGCATCTTCAATTTGATTATAAGACTTTTGGGGGAAATTGGTGCCAAAAAATCCATTGTCATCAAGTACCGTATATACTCAAGGATATGCCAAGTTTTTATGCACATTTTTGTGGTAAAATTAGGTGCCTTGGCTGATATTCGGGTCGGCTGATACTCGAGTATATGCAGTAGATTCCAACTTAGCCATGGCCTCTAATAAGCTGTGCAAACATAGCCAGTGAGTTATCTCATATGCTTCTGAGACCTGTGCTCAGGGTTTTCAGTGGTTGAGTTTTCAGAAGTAGATCTCTAGGCCTGCCTTCAAAGGCGCCTGTGGGTAATACTTGTGCTTCCAATCTTGCACCACCTAGACACACATCATTAAGAAAACAAACACAAACTCATTGCCATTGAGTCCAGTTCAACTGCCGAGCACTCTAGAACACAGAGTAGCACTGCCTCAGGCTTCCAAGGCCGTGATCTACAGACAGACCCCCGGTGGCCTGGTGGTTAAAGCGCTTGGTTTGAACTAACCAACTATTCTGTGGGAGAAATCTGTAAAGATTAAAACCAAAATCAAATTTTCAGATGCAACTGCTATGAAGTAGATTGCCACACACAGCAACACTAGCGAGCAGAATAAAAATGCCTCATAGGGTTTCCCCGGCTGTGGGTCTATGGAAGTGGGCTGACACGTCTTTCTCCTGGGGAGCAGCTAGTGCATTATAACTGCTACCTTTGGTCAACAGCCCACAGCTTAACCCCTATGCCACCAGCGCTATGTACAATTGTTATTTTTAGGTGCCTCTAAACAGGTTACCACTCACAGTGGCCCTCCATACAACAAAGTACAACCGAGTCCTATGCCGTCCTCTCAGTCGGTGCTCTGTTTGAACCCATTGCTGTAATCACTGGGTCAGCCCATCTCAAGTCACCGACCCTCTACTTGGCCAAGCACGATAACCTTCTCCATGAATAGGTCCCTGCACATGACATGTCCAAAGTATGTGAGATGTGATCCTGCCAGCCTCAATTCTAAGGAGCCATCTGGCTGTACTTGTCCCAACAGATTTATTCATTCTGGCAATCCCTATATAGTCTTCATAATTCAAATGCATCAATTCTTCCTTATCTGTTGTCCAGCTTTTGCATGCATATGAGGCAAGTGAAAATACCATAAATGGATACAAGCCCAAACCCAAACTCACTGCCATTGAGTCCATTTCAACTCATAATGACCCTATAGGACAGAATGGAACTGCCCCTGTGGATTTCTAAGGATGTAAATCTTTTAAAATCATTTTATTAGGGGCTTATACACCTCTTATCACAATCCATACACACATGCTACCAGGCCTTTCTTCAAGGTAATATCTTTGCTTTTTAACACTTTAAAGATATCTTTTGAAGCTGCAGATTTTCCCAATGCAATACCTCTTCTGATTTGCTAACTTTCATGGGCATTGATTGTGGATCCAAGTAAAATAAAATCATGGGCAATTTCAATAGCTTCTCCATTATAATGATATTGCTCACTCCTCTAGTTATGAGGATGTTTTTTTCTTCTTCGTTACCTTAAGGCATGATCGTCATCAGGAAATGCTTGGAGTGTTTTTCTTACAGCAAGCAAGGTTGTGTCAACTGCATAACACAGGTTGTTAATGAGTCATCCTTCAATCCTGATGCTGTGCTATTATTTACATAGTCTATTTTCTCAGATTGTTTTCTCTGCATACAGCTTTAATAAGTGAAAGGGTACCACCATAGCACACACCTTTCCTGACAAGGCCAGCAGTTTGAAACCACTATCAGCTCCGTGGAGAAAGAGTGACTTTCTACTCCCGTAAAGAGATAAGTGCTCAGAAACTCATGGGGCAGCTCTAGTCTGTCCTATGAGGTGAGTCAGAATTGACTGACGACGGTGAGTTTGTTTGGTGTTTTGAATGTTCCTTTATTCTCTCTAATGACTGCCTTTTGGTCTGTGTCCAGGTTCCACATGAATTGTAAGGAGCATTCTGGAATTCACATTCTTAGCAATGTTATCTATAATTGATATGACTCACATAGTCAAATGCTTTGCATAATTGATAGAACACAGGTAAACATCTTTCTGCTATTCTCTGCTTTCAACCAAATTCATCTGGCATAAAAAATGATGTTCTCCATGTTTTCTTCTGAAGCCAGCTTGGACTTCTGTCAGTATTGCAGAAACCATTTTTAAATTACCTGCATCAAAAGTTGACTTGCCTATAATATTAGCCATATTATTCATTAATGTCTGTATTTTGTTGGATCACCTTTCTTTGGAAAGGGTTACAAATGAATCTCTTCCAGTCAGTTGGCCAGCTAACACTCTTCCACATTTCCTGGCATAGATGAGTGAGCACTTCAAGCATTGCATCCGTTTGTTGAAACATCTCAATTGGTGTTCCATCAGTTCTAGTTAAGTCTGATAGACTATCATGAAACGATAACTCCTAAAATGTTTGACTAGGAGCCCTGGTGGGTAGTAGATTATGTATTGGGCTGCTAACTGCAAAATCAGCAGTATTGAATCACCAGCCAGTCCATGGGAGAAAGATGAGGTATTTACTCTTCTCAAGTTACAGTCTTAGAAACTCACAGGACAGGTCTATCCTATGTCCTAGGGTCTCCATAAGTCAGAATTGGTTTGGTTGTTGGCAGTGAGCTTGAGTTGTTTTGGAAAGTGGTTGAATATCAACCACTTCTTTTGGGTACAGTAACTGGGTATCCTTCCATCTTTTGATGCTTACTGCATCATTCAATATTTTACCCATAGGACGACTTTTTACCCATGCAACTTGAGGCTTGTATTTTTCCTTCAGTTCTTTCAGCTTGAGAAATGTCAAGTGTATTCTTCCCTTTTGGGTTTCTGACACCAGATCTTTGTGTGTTATATTTTTCATTGTCTTTTTTGGCTGCCCTTCAGAATCTTCTGTTCAGTTTTTTTATGGCCATCATTTCTTGCATTCCTTTGAGCTTCTCTACATTCAAGACCAAGTTTCAGAGTCTCTTCTGACACCCATTTTGGTCTTCTTTCCTGTCTTTGTAAGTGATCATTTGCTCTTTTCAAGTATTTATACCTCAAATTTTTAAAAGTATACAATTAGAAAAAGGTAAGAACATGAGAGGGATGAATCACTCTACCAACTAATATCTGATTTAACCTTAGAGCTCATTGTATGCTAACTTAAATCAAGAAGTGTTTATTAAAAGCTTCCTTGTGTCTGGTGACATAGAGGCCATAGAGTCGGACTGCTAGCTAGCTGTTCAAACCCACCAGTTTCATCACAGGAGAAAGTGGAGCTGTGTGCTCTGAAATGCACAAGGGCAGTTTTAATTGATTCACTGGCCATGAGCTTTTCATTTTGTGTCTGTCACTGTGTAGGCACATGGATGCAAAAATGAATAGACCGTGGTCTTTGACGGAGGAGCAGCTTCTGTGAACTGAAGAGAGGACATTGACAGTGTTCAACAACAGAGAATTCTTGTTAGGATTAAATATTAGAACCTGTAACACACCCACAGAATTCTTGTTAGGATTAAGTAAAATGATAGATTCGTTTTAGGATTAAGTAAGATTAATAAAGTAATCTGAAAATTAATGAAGGATTAGTAATCTGAAAATAGGAAGGATTCATTTCTTCATTCATAGTTCGGGATGTATATAATGTACTGTGGAGTTCTGGTGGCACCGTGGGTCGTGAGTAAGGCTGTTAGCCACAGCGATGACAGTTGCAAACCAACCAACCACTCTATGGGAGAAAGAGGAAGCTTTCTGCTCCCTACAGATTTACAGTCTCAGAAAGCCACAGCGGTAGTTCTACTCCATGCTATGGGGCCACTATGAGTCAGGATCGACTTGCGGAACATGAGGAAGTTGAGGCATTATGTGCTTTTCATAGTTGAAAGAACTTATTAAGATAATGTATGTAAAGGTCTGGAGCTCTCAGCAGTTAAAAGCCCCAGCTGCTCTGTGAGAAAGACGAGGCGCCCTGCTGCTGTGGAGACGTACTGCCTACAGGGGGATTCTGCTCGGCCCGTGGGGTCACTGGGGGTGTGGAACTTGGCAAGGACGAAATAGTAACATCTTCTTCCCCTGTGTCAATCTCAAGTAATTAAATAAGAGAATTCAAGGAAGTCACAGGCAGAAAATCTACCTTTGTGCTCACCAAGGTGTTATCTGTAATAAAGAAAAATTGGAAATAGCACTAACGAGCAAGAGCAGATTAGATAAGTAGCTCATGCTATATATGATGAAAATTGTATAATCATTAAAACTTCATATGTATACATGGAATTTTAATGAAGTAAATGTGTACAATATAATATGCAGTGAAAAGCATAAGATGCAAACTATATGATGCCAACACCAATACTACATTGATGAAAAAATTTAAAATATGTTTTACTATCTTTCGGTATGCCAGTAAAATGTGAACTTTTGATTTCTTCATTACACCTTTCCTTATTTTCAAAATTTTCTTGAAAATGTCTTTTTTAAAAATAGTTATATTTTAAAGCGATCTTGAACATATCAACTTAAAAAATTATGATAGCACATTGAAGTCCATGATAGTCTCTAGGATGTTAAAAGAAATGGCATTAAAATGGAAATTTAGATTGTCTTAAGTCAGTTTATTTGTCCATTCTGAAGCTTTTGCGTACCTGTTGTGGGACAGGCTTCTTGTGCAGTGAGATAAAGGTCAAAAATATATTGAGTCAGTCCTGAAGGAATTTTATCTGGTAGGAAAATCATCTAAATAAGATGATAAGTATAAGAAATCATGGCAGTTCCAGTGGTGGTGATATGAACAGGACATTGGGGACCTCTCTGCAAATAACCCACCTGTAAAGGAAGTCAAAATTACACCTGGCTTCTTGGACCCTGCCTGAGCTGAGTTTTCATTCATTCCATGCCTTTCACTGGAAAACATTTCTAAATATTGTCTTCCACATTTTAGCTGCAATCCAGAAATGGCGATCAGAAGGTCGAACAGCCATCTGGCTACACATCCCCATCCTCCAAAGCCGATGCATTGCTCCTGCCGCTTCCCTGGGCTTCTGCTTTCACCACGCAGAAGCGGACTCGGCAACACTTACCCTGTGGCTGGGAGAAGGGCCCAGCAGATTACCAGGATATGCCACGCATCAAGTAGGAGTTGCAGGTCAGTTCCACATTTGTGGTAATTCAGAATTAATTTGTAAGGGGTTAGCCTGCTTTCTTACATCTTAAAGCTGAGCAAATAGTTTGTTCAGGTAGAATGAATTATTTAATGAAATGATACCTCCCTTGGGACTATTGCACAATGTTTTTAAATAGAAAATATTTGTCTTAAAAATCAGCAGAGGGCAGCAAAGATAAACATAAGTTAAGCCTCTAGTTTTCCAAAGGCTATGTCCGATCATGTTTTACGCAGTTATTGGAACTTCACTAGTCAAATAGCCTTGCTTGGCTCCACAGTCAAGGCTTTGGAAGCAGCAGTTAAGAGACCAAATGACTCATTGCATTGGATAAATCTGCTGCACAGGACCTCTTTAAAGTGTTGAAAAGCGAGGATGCTACTTTGAGTACCAAGGTGCGTATGTTAAGCTGGGTTATCTAGGGAAATAAAATCATTGACACTCATATATGTAAAAGAAAGAGCCTTAAATTTAAAAGTATGCTTATATCAAGAAGGCATTCCCACCCAGTCCAACTTAAGCCCTTGGGCCTGATGTTAGCCAGAGCCCTCTTCAGACACCTGTGGCTGCAAGCTGCTGCTGCTGAGAGAGAAAGCGGGATGCTGTAAAGGAAATCACAGGCCAGTGGGTGCAGAGCCGCGTGGATCCAAGTTTAGTGGAAACATGGCAGGGTGCCAACAACTCTCAGGTTGACTCCCAGGGTCAGTGGCCCACAAGGGCCAGCCATCCCTGGAGGTAGACATAGAGTCTCAGCAAGCAGAAAAGCAAAAAGGCAGAAAGAGAGGAGAAGAGTCCCCAGTGCTTCTTATAAAAAGGCTATCCACCTCCTAGGAGGCATGGCCAGGCTTTGACCTGATTGACAGGTTGGACTCTACCCCACCCCAAGGGTAAGCTGACATAAAATCTAACTACAACAGTGTGCCTGACCCAACCCATGGTTTTTTGTATCATATCATATGCATATGAAAGTTGAACATTGAATAAGAAAAATGGAAGAAAACTTTGAATTATCATGCTAATGAAGATGCTTCATTGAATTAGGATGCTTTGGGTACTAAAAGTACCAAAGAGCAAACACGTGTATCTTGGGAGAAATACAACTAGACTGCTCCTTCTTCTCTGGTTTTTCCTTATTCAATGTAATGATGGTAAAGGCCTTCAAGAAGGTGGGGTCCAAGTATTTGTCCCTCAAATAAGTGCCCAGGTAATACAGGAGCCATCACTGCAAGTTCCAGGATCACCCTTTGAGAACTCACTCACTCACCCACCCACTGCCATTGAGTCGATGCCACTCATAGCAACCCCACTCTGACTTTCTGAGACTGTAACTGTTTATAGAAGTAGAAAGCCCC